AAGGCGATCGGTGACAAACAACGAGAAGGAACTGAATACATGAACTTAGGAAATGCCTATGCTTCACTAGGAAAATATCGCAAAGCCATTGCATACTATAAACGGAGCGCGAGCATTTCCAAATTAATCGCTGACAGACAACAAGAAGGAATAGCTTACGCCAACTTAGGAAAAGCCTATGACTCACTAGGAAAATACCAACAAGCCATTAAATTCCATGAACGGAGCCTGAGCATTTCTAAAGAAATCGGTGACAGTAAACGCGAAGAAATAGCTTCTGCGAACTTAGAAAAAGCCCATAAGGCACTACTAGGGGAATACCCCAAGGGCACTGATAACGACAAACCGCCGAGCGAGATCAAGACTGGGAATAAAAGGTATGTACATCATTCCACTATACAATATCATGAAAGGCGTCCTTTTTGACATATAGCTATATAACATTATAATTTAAATTGATCAAAGCATAAAGTTTATGTTCGTGTTCGCCAATCCATTGATCAGAAACAGTCTGCTAAAAACAAAATACATGGCATTCAAATTACTGAGGCTGCTGAAAATCTTTCAATATAGTGCGTTTTTCTTCCTCAAGATAAATGAATATCGCTGCACGGATGAATATTTTTACCCCAGCACACTTTCGGTCTGGCATCAGACATTCGTCTAGCTCCGACAACTTTATGAAGCTAGCTACTAATAATATAAATATGTATGTATAATGCAAGCATATAATTTGCATAATTATTTTTGTATTCCAGCACAAGAGATGAATCGATGTCCACAATAAAGTGTTTTGATCATTTAACGCTGTCTCATTTGCCAACATGTAATATCAATCTCTTTGGCCAAGTTGGAGAAGGAAAGTCGAGCTTTTATAACAAGACCATCTTTATTAAAGAGGTAAACCTGCTCAATGAACTATGAGGACTTTGATCAATATTACAAACGAGTTTATTTACACAAAACTGCTATTGTTTGATCCTTTAGTTCAACATGTATACACTTGAAGACAATCCATGCACTGGTGACACTATGGGCTTGGAACCACAGACCAGTGAAGCTGATTTCAGGAATTTGGACGGAGAATTACTTTCAAACAGTTCAGAGTACACCCGAAATCCTGGACTAAAATACAGAGCTCACTATGTAGTTATCAGTAGAGGTGAGTATTTAAAAGCTTATTGCTTGTTTGTCTAGCGTATATTTCATAGAATGGTGTTTACTGGAAAAAATCGTTCACTTTAAAAGGTTGTAAATTTGATGTAAATATCATGTAAGTGTCCAAAATGATGTAAATTTGATGTAAATTTGAGGCTTAAATTTGATGTAAGTTTACATCAAATTTTATTACATCATTTTGGACACTTACATAATATTTACATCAAATTTACAACCTTTAAAGTGCGCGATTTTTTTCCAGTGCAAGCTTTCCGATATGAATGCAATACCCTATTTCTTTGAGGCTTTCATGGGCTCAGCATGTCATAGTTTTCATATTCACATTTTTCATCTTTCCTATGTGTTTCGATCCACGTCACATATCTAAAAATATGCTAAAATGAGCTGTTTTGATAAACTTAAAAACAAATCTCTCTTGTGGAGAAGCGTTGCGTGACGACACAGGGGCGGCTGCTAAAGAAGGCTAGGAAAAGTAGTACTTACGATTTTGTTAACGAACTATTTCAGGAATACCTCTTTTTGTTCTACTGACCCATAAGGATGAGTTTCTTCCTGAAGATGGAGACGACATAACCAAAATCTTTCACAGTGAGACCCTTGGAGTAACTCGCGTGCAAGGTACGGAGGAAATTGGGGTTGCCAATAAACCAGAAAAACTATAATAACTATAACAAAATGGATATTCTTCTGCTGTACGTATGCATTGCGCATCTCTGGAATACAAAGGACCGCCGAAATCCAATGATAAATAAGGAAACACAACTGAGCCCTGCAGGATGGACGACTGATATCGATAATCTTGACATGCTATCATCAGATACTATTAAATCGAATGTGTAAATATGGGAAAATTAAGTTTACGATAAAAGCGATAGTTTCCCGTGGTATGTCCTCTTATTAACATGAACGCCTTTTCGAATCGTCAAAATAATAAACTGATTTTAGATATATATATATAAATTAACAACAACTTTGACGATTGCTTAGATAACAATTTAGATAATAATCCCAGAAAAAAAGAAAAGAAAAATCTTGCAAAACTTGGTAGGTACTCTTACTAAAAGTGTATATTGCAAGTACCACGGCTCTCGACCAATCAGAAATCGAGAAAATTTACAATTGTGGTAAAACGGTGGTTAGGTGATAGTGATGTCAGTTATATAGTGGCATTATAAAATTATAACAGTTGGAAAACTATCATATATAAGATAAAATGTAAATATTACGTTTATGACTATTTTATTTATTATTATGTGTACATAAACTATTGTAGTCTCCTTTCGCAGCCGGTCGTTACATCGATCATTTTGTAAATAAAGCTTAGAATAAAAGAAATATGGTACACTTACAGTCTCGCTAAAGAATATTGCCATATTTTAAGCGGTGGTTTTTGGAACACATTTACTTCCCGTAATATTAGATAAATTGAAATGTATATAAATATGTGGCGGGTAGCGTTAGTGGTATAGAGTTAATTTCGTATGAATTGGGAAACGTACGGTAGAAATTAGCACACGGTTACCGGAGCTGGCCTGCACAATGTTTGTGAAGCAATGAGACACTAGAATTTGGTTACAGTACGATTACAGTTACAGTACAGTACCGTCCGTTTCCCACTCATACGAAATTGACTCTAGTCAGGGTCTTGGCGTAAAGTACCCCTATACCTATCATAATGGGATCCCTACTTTGGACAATGTTTTTGGGCCTGTCCCTTAAAAGGTGGAATGTAAATAATAATTGTTTAAAAATAAATTTAGACAACACTAAAATGCTTGTGATGATTTATTGATCTCTTTTGATTTTATATTGATAGTAATCTATTATAACTGTTATAAGCGCATTTTACCTCTTTCCCGCCTCTTTGCAGTGCTTTCGCGGCTCCAAGCATCGCTTGAATACTGAGAACAGATAAATAATTTCGTTTCAATGATAATTATACTAATATTAATTTCTAACAAAATACAAAAAATCAAGCCGCCAATGGCAACACAACTCGAAGATTGATTGTGTAGACGAATACAGAAAGATATAATGATGAATCAAATTTACTTAATGAATAGAATTTTAAATAAACGATTTATTAATATAGTTTTATAATTTAACTTCGGTTGTGGATAAACACAAGCGAGCGACGGTGAGATGAATACCACTCGAGCTACAACTATGAGTAAATGAGAAGCGCTACATCTGGATCCGAATAACAAATAAAATCACCGCAAGTGTCAAAAAACAATAACACTGAATAACAACTAATCCCTAAGAAAACTTGGAGTTCAATTATTAAGCAAACAATATTAATTTCAAGACGTAACATTGACTAATATTTCTCATGTTGGTAGGCGAAAAAAAATTGAGTTTGCCAAATAAAAATTATTCGCAAGGAAAACCAGAATATCAAACAAAATCAAAGCAAAGGTGAAGCAAATCGACGAATACTAGTGATCA